AAAAAAAGTCCTAACTCGCAAATCTTTTTTATTAGCTCGCAATTTTTTTCAAAACTACTTCAATGACAAAAAAAATAAAAATTTGGAATATCTCTACATGAGGGGCTAATTAATCGGATCTCATAGTTTCCGAGATAATCGCGAAAAACGAAAGTGCCAAAAAAATTAATTTAATTCATCTTGTATAGGGTGTAGGAAGTGGAAAAACGCAATTCTGAGCCGTCCATCTGCCTATACGGAACCCAAATTTCCTCAGGAATCGAATGGAATAGGTTTTAAGGCTCTATCTCTCATAGTTTCCGAGATAATCGCGAAAAACGAAAGTGCCAAAAAAATTAATTTAATTCATCTTGTATAGGGTGTAGGAAGTGGAAAAACGCAATTCTGAGCCGTCCATCTGCCTATACGGAACCCAAATTTCCTCAGGAATCGAATGGAATAGGTTTTAAGGCTCTATCTCTCATAGTTTCCGAGATAATCGCGAAAAACGAAAGTGCCAAAAAAATTAATTTAATTCATCTTGTATAGGGTGTAGGAAGTGGAAAAACGCAATTCTGAGCCGTCCATCTGCCTATACGGAACCCAAATTTCCTCAGGAATCGAATGGAATAGGTTTTAAGGCTCTATCTCTCATAGTTTCCGAGATAATCGCGAAAAACGAAAGTGCCAAAAAAATTAATTTAATTCATCTTGTATAGGGTGTAGGAAGTGGAAAAACGCAATTCTGAGCCGTCCATCTGCCTATACGGAACCCAAATTTCCTCAGGAATCGAATGGAATAGGTTTTAAGGCTCTATCTCTCATAGTTTCCGAGATAATCGCGAAAAACGAAAGTGCCAAAAAAATTAATTTAATTCATCTTGTATAGGGTGTAGGAAGTGGAAAAACGCAATTCTGAGCCGTCCATCTGCCTATACGGAACCCAAATTTCCTCAGGAATCGAATGGAATAGGTTTTAAGGCTCTATCTCTCATAGTTTCCGAGATAATCGCGAAAAACGAAAGTGCCAAAAAAATTAATTTAATTCATCTTGTATAGGGTGTAGGAAGTGGAAAAACGCAATTCTGAGCCGTCCATCTGCCTATACGGAACCCAAATTTCCTCAGGAATCGAATGGAATAGGTTTTAAGGCTCTATCTCTCATAGTTTCCGAGATAATCGCGAAAAACGAAAGTGCCAAAAAAATTAATTTAATTCATCTTGTATAGGGTGTAGGAAGTGGAAAAACGCAATTCTGAGCCGTCCATCTGCCTATACGGAACCCAAATTTCCTCAGGAATCGAATGGAATAGGTTTTAAGGCTCTATCTCTCATAGTTTCCGAGATAATCGCGAAAAACGAAAGTGCCAAAAAAATTAATTTAATTCATCTTGTATAGGGTGTAGGAAGTGGAAAAACGCAATTCTGAGCCGTCCATCTGCCTATACGGAACCCAAATTTCCTCAGGAATCGAATGGAATAGGTTTTAAGGCTCTATCTCTCATAGTTTCCGAGATAATCGCGAAAAACGAAAGTGCCAAAAAAATTAATTTAATTCATCTTGTATAGGGTGTAGGAAGTGGAAAAACGCAATTCTGAGCCGTCCATCTGCCTATACGGAACCCAAATTTCCTCAGGAATCGAATGGAATAGGTTTTAAGGCTCTATCTCTCATAGTTTCCGAGATAATCGCGAAAAACGAAAGTGCCAAAAAAATTAATTTAATTCATCTTGTATAGGGTGTAGGAAGTGGAAAAACGCAATTCTGAGCCGTCCATCTGCCTATACGGAACCCAAATTTCCTCAGGAATCGAATGGAATAGGTTTTAAGGCTCTATCTCTCATAGTTTCCGAGATAATCGCGAAAAACGAAAGTGCCAAAAAAATTAATTTAATTCATCTTGTATAGGGTGTAGGAAGTGGAAAAACGCAATTCTGAGCCGTCCATCTGCCTATACGGAACCCAAATTTCCTCAGGAATCGAATGGAATAGGTTTTAAGGCTCTATCTCTCATAGTTTCCGAGATAATCGCGAAAAACGAAAGTGCCAAAAAAATTAATTTAATTCATCTTGTATAGGGTGTAGGAAGTGGAAAAACGCAATTCTGAGCCGTCCATCTGCCTATACGGAACCCAAATTTCCTCAGGAATCGAATGGAATAGGTTTTAAGGCTCTATCTCTCATAGTTTCCGAGATAATCGCGAAAAACGAAAGTGCCAAAAAAATTAATTTAATTCATCTTGTATAGGGTGTAGGAAGTGGAAAAACGCAATTCTGAGCCGTCCATCTGCCTATACGGAACCCAAATTTCCTCAGGAATCGAATGGAATAGGTTTTAAGGCTCTATCTCTCATAGTTTCCGAGATAATCGCGAAAAACGAAAGTGCCAAAAAAATTAATTTAATTCATCTTGTATAGGGTGTAGGAAGTGGAAAAACGCAATTCTGAGCCGTCCATCTGCCTATACGGAACCCAAATTTCCTCAGGAATCGAATGGAATAGGTTTTAAGGCTCTATCTCTCATAGTTTCCGAGATAATCGCGAAAAACGAAAGTGCCAAAAAAATTAATTTAATTCATCTTGTATAGGGTGTAGGAAGTGGAAAAACGCAATTCTGAGCCGTCCATCTGCCTATACGGAACCCAAATTTCCTCAGGAATCGAATGGAATAGGTTTTAAGGCTCTATCTCTCATAGTTTCCGAGATAATCGCTAAAAAGCCTGAACTGAGCCTGAACTGAGCTCCATTGATACATTTGTTTCTGAGTTATGAAAATTTTTAAAAAAGTCTAGAGTGTCCATTTTACCCTACCCTCCCTTATTTAAAACTTAATCACTGTAAGTCGGAAATTTATTTAATATTGAAGACTCGTACAATTGATGGCCATCCCTGATTGAGACCTTCGAAAGTCTCAAATTAAATATGAATAAATGAATGAAAGAATCATTAAATGAACAGATCATGTGCATCTTACGATGGAAATTCATGTTCACTTACCTTCACCTTCCCATAGGGCACGAAGTTGATGTCGAGGTAGTCCTTTAGCCCGTGATACGCAGGCACCAGTTGATCTTTAATGAAGCGGATACTGTCTCCGCAGAGGGTCTCATAATAAATGTCGACCTTGATCACCGCCTCTGTGCTCTGACGGAATAAAAAGATCGTGGGGATCAATTCCTCGATATTAATAATGTGAAGTAGTTGATCGACTTACCGATCCACACACCAAAACCAAAACAACAGAAAGTACGTGTCGCATCATTATGCAAAGGGTACGACGTTGACTTGCCTTCAACAGAATACAGCTATGACTCGGAGAATGTCATGCCACTGGTCCTCTTAAGTACTCATCATCCTCTCTTGTTTATATCGATGAAAGCACGAAACCCAACATTTTCACTCCCTGGATAAAATAATAATCCAAAATGCACGATCCTTGAGTTCGCATTTTGTGGTACATTTTTTGGTTTGACAAATATTTTTACAATAAAAAAAGTTTGGAAAATTCTCACGTATAGGCGATACTGCGGTTGCATTTTTGAAACATGAATGACATGAATGTTGTCACAACAATCATTATATTTTTGAAATTCCATGATTATTGTGACTAGAACAAGGAAAGAAATGTTCACGCGTTAAGATAATTCCATTTATTGCCGGGGAAATTGAAAAAACATCGTGTTCAATTAATTTAATTTGCACAGGTGGGCGGTTTGTTTGGGATTCGCTGGCAGATAAGTTTCTTGAAGTTGACGAGTGCCGCATTCTGGTTGGCATCTGAGTACACCTACAATCAGTGACGAGAAGCGAATAATCAGAAACCTTGATGACAATGGGAAATATCTTGTCGAGGAACTCACGTTATCGAGGACGATAGTGGGTATGAATGATACCGGTGGCTTGAGATTGTGTGTCTTATCACCGTGAGCCGCTAGAAGATTGTCTCCGTGAGACGTTTCCATGCAATTACTTATGTCCTTTCTCATCTCTGGGGTCCATCCCATATTTCTGGCGCACTGGAGTATACAGCCGCATAAATTTTGAATGCGATGGTCACGAGTGATTAAAATTGAAATGGATATTGATTGATTTATACCTGTGGCACAGCTGCCGATGGATTGCCACTGGCCATTGCACATTTGACGAGCTTAACTGCCAGAGATTGTTTGTCAGCGAAACTTACTGTTTCCAAATTCTGAATGACATCTAAGGCACAGGCTTGCGCTTTATTTCCACGGCACTCGGAGGGTCCATGCTGACAGCTGAACAACCATTTCCCGGATTCATCTTGTCTTTGCTGAAATATTTGGAAGAATGAGGAGAAAAATATTTGGTGTCATTTAACATCTACATTTTTGCAAGAAAATTTAAATTCAATGGACAGTGCAGGGAGAAAAATCATTGGATTTTGAATTTTATTGAACATGCGATGGAATTCAGTCGATTTTTACCATTGCCCAGTTTTTAATGAATATCTCAGAATCTAAGGAAAATAGCAAAATTTTTGTCATGACCGTTTTTGTAGCCGTCAATGCGCTCTGCAAAAAGGTGATGACGAAAATTTGGTTGTCTCCCTTACATTCGGAGATATTCCGTGAAAATCTGAACTGTTTAACGAATCGTTCTTGCATTTTAATAACTTTAACAACTATAGTTGTTAAATTTCAACGAATATTTTCATTCGTGCACATTTCGCACAGAAAAATCATTTGCACTCACACTGGCCTTTCCATAGGGCACAAAGTTAGCGTTGAGATAGTCCTTCAGTTCGAAGTATGAAGGCACAAATTGATACTTAATGAATCTGACACTGTCTGGACAGAGAGATTCATAATAAATGTCAACGTTGATGCATGGCGATGACTTGCAAGGTGCCTCAGCCTTCAAGCTCTGATAAAATTGAAGAAAAGGTCATGTTAATGATCAATAATCAATAATGTGGAGTAATTGGTGAACTCACCGATCCCCACAGCAGCACAAAGACAACCGAAACGTGTCGCAGCATCGGGCAATAGTTGTTACTGTGATAACTCGGTCTCAATCGCAGCGATAACCCGGAGAACGTCGTGCCACTAGTGCTCGGGAGTATTCTTTTCCAAACGGAAAATAATTCAAGTAGCACGAGCTGATATCAGAATAGCAGAGAGTGGGAGATTAGAGTGCAAATGAGAGCGATAATCGCGAATCGACTGGGTAGACTGTTGGTTCAATAGATCGGATTATTTTCTACGACGTTAACCGGATTTGTTGTGTAGAAGGTTCGATTTTCTGCATTTGGATTGGTCTCGAGGATTTACCGAACGTGGAATTACGATGACTTTACGTGATAATTCTGCGGAAAATGGGAAGTTTATAGTTATTTACTGCACTTTTGGTTGCAATAAAAATGAAACAAATGACAGGTGTACATTTTGCAATGCGACATTAAAATTAAATCATTTTTTATTTACATATTTTCTTCAACATTGGATATAATATTGTAATGAAGACAAAAGTTTCGATCTAGAAAAAAAATGTTGAAGATTGTTTTGATTCATTCATTGATTTTGGTTTAGTTTCATTTTGTTTGGTCTCAAGGATTTACCGAACGTGGAATTACGATGACTGAGTGTTTATTCTGTGGAAACTGGGAAGTTTATAGTTCGTTACTGCACTGTTTTATTGCACCAAGGAAGAAGCGCAATCTTCTTTTTTATTTATGAATAATAAAATAATTTCATCAAACTCGCAGTCCTTTATTGCGTACTTTGTCATACATTTTTCGTTGCAATAGCATTTTTACAATAAAAATGGAAAAAATGACAAAAGTACATTTTACACTGCAACATTACAATTAATTCATTTTTTAAATATTTTATTCAACATTTGATGTGATGGATTTGCAATCAAGACAAAAATATCGGTATGAGGAAATATCGGATCAATATTTGCATCAATATCCCGATACCGATTAACGATTGAATGAAATAATTTATCGTCGTGAAATATACCCCTGGGACAGCAGTGACACGATTTTCACTGGACATGGACAATTAATCATCTAAGATTAATTTAATGATTAATAATCATTAAATCATCACTAAAGATTTTTTAATCTTTAAATGATTATTCTATTATTTCTTCCACAGACGAATCGTTTGCTACATTCATAATTCTAGTGGGTTCAGTCTTTTTGATAAAAAATCGTGAAACTGAAATTATTTTCAAGTTTTGCGTACAATTTCATTTTTTTTATTTCATATTTCTGAAGCCTGTCTTGTTCGCATAAAATGCAGAATAATTCAGTGATTAATCTATTCTTTCCTCTATAAATCACGTGTTCTCAGAGATGAATAATTTATTCCACCCATAATCCCAATAATTTAAATAACTTGGAGTAGAATTTCGACTTCCCATAAATCACCATTCGTTTATTCTTCATAATTTCTTTACATTTCATAATTCACTCAATTAATCTATTCATTAACTTTCCAATGACAAAATCACATAGTTCATGCATAAAACGGGGAATAAATCATTCGAAAAGAATTGAAAAAACTTCATTCTTGATTTATTCAATTCGAACAAGTTGCTGGCTTGCTCTCGGAGGGAATGCGACTGCAGATGAGTTTCTTGAAGTCGGAAACTGCTGCCGTTTGATTTTCCTGGGAGTATACCTGCAATTTAATGCAATAATTATTTAAATTACTTAAATCAATTAGTCAATTTCTCTCTCTAATTTATCAAATATTCTCTATAAAAAAAGGAGATCACCGAAATGTGTCACACGTTCATTTTTTCCGAATTTTTTCGTGTTTTTTTCCATAATAAAAAGGGGACCAATAAGAATATTCCTTATTGTTCATTGAAATTGTTCGATATTCAGTTCGAAATATTGCGCAAAAATTGGTATCAATTATTCAATGTCCATTTTCATAATTAAAGTGAATTGTATTAGAATGGAGAATTGTCTAATTCATGGAGCGCGCATTCAATCTCATTCTATTTTTTTTTTTTGCAATGCCGATCAAATTTCAACTTGAAAAAGCAAATGAATAAATGAATAATCACCCCATCGAGAACAATAGTAGGCACGAATGCCAGTGAAGGCTTGAGATCGTGTGTCTTATCGCCATAGGCAGCCAGAAGGGCATCCCCAGTTTCCGATTTGATGCAATCGTCGATTATCTTCCTTGTCTCTTCGCTCAATCCTGCGGTCTCAGCGCACTACAAAAAATAACATGGAATATATCGTGGCGAGGATAAGATCAGTGAATACTAAACAAGACACTATTATTCTGGTCTCTCGATATATGCATACTTGTGGCACAGCTGTGGCTGGATTATTGTTGGACATGACACAACCGATGAGAGATACAGCCAGAGATTGCTTCTCCTCGAAGGATTTCGTCGAGCTGAGGATAGCGTCGTATCCACATACTTGGGCCTTGTTTCCTTGACACTCGGTCGAGCCGTGCTGACATGTGAACGAGTATTTTTTTGACTCGTTTAGTTTAGTCTGGAAAGTTTTCGAATGTCGATGAATTTCTTTTTGCGGTGAGCTTGCCAATTTTTTATGAATTATTTCCGAAATGTTTTTGGAGTGAAGATGTGGCAAGAGAATTTTTTCATTCATAATTTCAAACGTTCAAACATTTTCTTCAAATTAGTCAATCAAATTGCGACAGAAAAATTCGAAAAAAATCATGAGCATTCAGCGTCATTTAAATTACATTTTACAGACGATTATTTTGATGATTTTTTTAAAACATTCGTTTTTCATAAATAAATAATTGAAATTAATTAAAATCTTGGAAATCTTATTTTTTAAAGGATAAAATCGATTTCTGATTAAATTCTGGAAATGAATAAATTTTTTACGATTCCGACCAAATGATTTTTTTTTTGTGGAAAATTGATTGTTTATAAATTATGTAAAATGCTCCTAATTTGCAAAAATTGCAATTTTTAAATAATTTCATCAATCTTCCTCCAAAATAAATTTTCTAATTATTTTTTCAGATTTAAAAAGTGTTTTTTAACGGTTCAATATCGAGATTCAAATTCAGACCTGCAAAGTTTAAATGATAAAATCATTGTATAATGTCCGGAAAATGGGCCTCAAATAAAAGCTCGAGTTCTGCAAAATGAGAAAAGCATTTCACTAGTGAAAAAATAATCAAAATACTTAAATCCTTAGGATATCCTTAAATTCCATAACATCTTCACTCCGAAGACGTGTGCAGAATAAAACAAAATCCAAATAAATTAACTCTAATTAATTGTCATTAACTACTAACAGTAGCCTTTCCATAGGGCACAAAATTGATGTTGAGGTAATCCTTGAGTGCAGGATACGAAGGCACCAATTCATTTCTTATGAACATCATGCTGTCTCCACAGAGCGACTCGTAGTAAATGTCGACAGTAATGCATGGCGATAATTTGCATGGTGCCTCTGCATTTATGTTCTGAAATAAAAATACAGGAGTAATTATGAGCGTTAACGATTCATCCGAAAATGGTGTGTGGTTTTCACTTTCTTTTTTCACTGGTTTTCACTTTCAGCGTTGTTATTCTCACTTTAGAAAGGAATGTAATAAAAACGTATCACATTTATGCTCAAGCAATTTCTATTTTACTGAACAAGAACGCAGAATTGTGTACTTACCGATCCACAGAGCAGCACAAAGGCACTAATAATAGGGAATCGCGTCATGTTACGAAAGAGTTTGTATCTCTTCCTTGATCGTAAGAAAAACTGAGAGAACGTTCCACTGGGACTCGGATATTATAACAAGCGAAAGGATACTCTCAGGTGGGGGATGTGTACCTGAATTGACGATGAGGCAGGGAGTGGGAGATCATAGGTGTTCCTTCGCCCATCGGGGTCAGAGGATCCGTTGTCTCTTTCCACTCGTGTTTTGGTTCATCACATGCTCATTTCCGACCTTCGGTCCTGGGAGAACGCACGGGGTGGGGGTGGTACCAATTAAATATGCGGGTTCAGGATGTAATATTGAATTACAGGCTTGTCGATAACGGGAATGTGGCGATGGATTTTTGTATTTGATTTCAGTTTGTGAAAGTTGAAGCTGATATTGATTCAAGTGTCGTGTGTAGGGGATCACATTTTATGGTTGACTAGCTCCGAATCTTCTCGGAGTAAAATTTTACACTCAAACACTAATTCATGAACTGCATGTAATTAATTTGATACAGATGTCCTGTCTAAAATTCAATTTCGTCGGGATAATAATTTGAAACGTCAAGGCAAACCTCCACTTCATGAATTTTTTTATCATTAAAATTCTAAGAAATAAGTTAGTTGTTGGAAAGAACCAAAAACTTATTTATGAACTGCACAAATTCAATCCGACATAATAAAAAAAAAAAATTAAAATAATAATAATAAAAATTTAAAACATCGAGGCCAGTAAACCTCCACTACATCAATTTTTTTGATCATAAATAGAATAAATTTTATCATAAATAGAAATTCTAGGAAATAAGTCAGTAGTTATAAAGAATCATAAATTCATCTGTGAACTGCACAAATTGAATTCGTTATAGATTTTCTATCCAAAAATCAATCTCATCGATAAAAATTTAACACATCAGAGCGGGCGGAATTCCACTTCATCTATTTTATCATCTTATAAACCTTGAGAAATAAATCAGTAGTTGTCAAGAATCAAAAGCCAATTTATAAACTGCGCAAATTGAATTGCCAATCACTCGACTCCACCAATTTTTCTCCCCTCTCTTTGCGTTCCCATCAACGTAGGTCATCGACCTGTCCCTCCATAAACACATGTAGATTAGGTATCACGGGACATCAAACTAAAACTCATGCATGAATACTCTCCACATCGTTTATTCTCATCAAACTAGAATCAATAAATTTCAGGCACGAAATAAAAAACACAAAATTCAATATTCCTAATTTTAAAAACCCCGTTAAATCACGTATTGATGCCCTGCTGGAACTGCAGTTGTCTCTGGAGTTCACTGAGCTCCTTGTGCAGGATTGTGGCCCGTTCTTTGAAGACCTCCGCAATCTCCTGATTCTTCTGCACCCCATCGCCTCGTGCATGCATCTGCGCGACATTGGCGCATGCAAATGGATTTCCCATTTCGCAGGATATTAAACTGAGTTTGTACGCCTCGGTGAAATTGGGTTCTATGGACTCATTGTGACTTCCCATGTAGATGCCAGAGAGGTAGAAGCAACCGGGCTCCTCCTTGAACTCAAAACACGCTTTCCTGAACATCTCCATTGCCTTTTTTAGTTGGCTCACTTTGTCTTCCTCGATGGTTATGGTTTTTATCGATGCTAGGGCTCCACCCTGGACGCATCCCTTTGCGTCATTCAGTTCGCAGCCTTTTTGGAGGTATTTAAATGCCTCAGGAATGTTCTTCTCACATCCTTTGCCTAGAGGAGGAATAAACCAGAAAAAGAATTTTTTTCCCGTGATAATTAATTACTTTATCGTTTATTGCACTTCATTATCATCAATTTCATTCATTTCTTAGTGATGTTCATGTTCACATTTTGAATTTTGCAACTGAATTGCATGAGAAAATTTTTGAAAAATCGTACCCAGTCAGTATTATCTAAATTTAATTTCGCAAAATATTGATATTTTTTTAATCATTTCTTTCTTATAAACAAATAACAGAACTTGTTCGTGAAACGGTGGGTCATTTTTTATGAGGTGTCAACAAATTTCTGGATTTTTGCACAGACACTGGGTTAAATCCTGATCTTTAAACCTTTGGGAAACCAAAACGACTGGTATTTTCTTGCAGTTTTCAATAATCTTTTAATTTACCGTGAGGGTATAGCTACTTTAAAATCCCGCGAAATCCAAAGCTCGATGGATAACTGGTGAAAATAACGATTTCCTCTCTTACCTAGAATTTTATATCCACCGAATTTGGCGCAGCTTCTCGGCCAGTTTCTCTCATCACAATTGCTCTTGTAAATACTAGCGGCTTGTTCTATATCCTGTTTAATACTTTCCATATAATCCCCGTAAAGATGACAGGCTGTAACAAATATTCCTCATCAGTTCATGGCAAATGGATAATAGATAGGTTAGACTGGGCCTCACCCACCGTTTCCATTCTTCTCGGTCTCGCAACCGAACCGGTACTCCATGTAAATATTCTTGAGGTACGCCTGCACGTCCTCTTCATTCTTGAAGTTAAACGTCATGATGACAAGTGTTTATTCTCGTATTTAGAACTTTTTTTTAAATCACTCGAATTCCTCTATTTATCGTATTGCTCCGGAATTGCCACGCTTATTTATCGACTGAGCTGTCATAGCGCGCATGAGCGGCACGAATATTTGAAAATGACGGGCTTGCGCAAGCTCTATGAAATAAATTGGAATAAACACACGGTATACGTTCAACAGGGGTACTTTCCCTCTGAAAGCTCGGTCAGCGTGTCGTGCTCCACTTTTACATCCATTTGTAGTTTTCCGCAATTATTGACACCTCTCAAACGTGTCACCTCGCCCACACGACGAGTCATCACTTCTGCATTGGAATAAAAACCCCGGAATCCTCAAAAAAATAAATATCGCGAAATTGCAAAGTGAATGTGCGCTAATCGTCCGGAAGTTCGTCAATATTTCATCAACAAACAGTGATGTTTCCTGCGCATTTTAAATGTTTGTGCATATGTACCAGAGACAATAGAAATAACAAAAGTGAAAATACTAAATTTCGAAGGGTTTATTCGAAATACTTCGGGGTGAATATCAGAACCTGCACTCGGTCATTAAGCCATCACTAATCTCCTCATCTTTTTGCGTGACGACGTAAGAAAAAGTGTTAATTGTCTTATTAAATTTTTTTAATCACTCAAGCTCTATTTATCGCATTACTTCAGACTCTTATTTATCGACTGAGCTGTCGTAGCGCGCATGAGTGGCACGAATATTTGAAAATGACGGGCTTGCGCAAGCTCTATGAAATAAATTGGAATAAACACACGGTATACGTTCAACAGGGGTAGTTTCCCTCTGAAAGCTCGGTCAGCGTGTCGTGCTCCACTTTTACATCCATTTCCAGTTTTCCGCAATTATTGACACCTCTCAAACGTGTCACCTCGCCCACACGACGAGTCATCACTTCTGCATTGGAATAAAAACCCCGGAATCCTCAAAATAATAAATATCGCGAAATTGTAAAGTGAATGTGCGCTAATCGTCTGGAAGTTCGTCAACATTTCATCAACAAACAGTGATGTTTCCTGCGCATTTTAAATGTTTGTGCATATGCAACATGGATGAACCGAGCGGAACAGAGTCAATAGAGATGAGAGTGATAATAGCCCATTTCGAAGGGTTTATTCGGAATACTTTGGGGTGAACATCGGAACCTGCACTCGGTCATTAGGCCATCGCTAATCTCCTCATCTTGGTGTGACTCAACGGGAAGCGTTATAGCGTGAGTACAGAAACACCACGAAACTCTGTCAATCTCGCCCCTCCGTTCCACCCTCAAGACTCAGAAATAATTAAGGGGCATTGGGGGGTAGTGGTTCAATGCCTCCAATCATTCAAGGTCATGCCAAATTGGCCGGTCACGCAATGGCGTATTACCCCCGGTTTATTATTCTCTATTGAACCCCAGGAGCCAAATCTGTTTTTTATTGTCGCGATGACCTAAATTTTTCATCGCATGTTACAGATGAGTGAGTCAGTGAAGGTGGCCGTGAGGTGCAGGCCCATGAACCAGAGGGAGAAGTCCTCTGGGTGTCAGGTGAGTCGGGGGGATCATCTCACACTGGGGCAAAATGGATTTCTCAAATTTGCAATTTTTTTTTTCCTCGCAATGACGGAATTCAGAGGAATTTCATCGTATTTTGGGGTTTAAATCGCGTTTTTGGATTTGGGGATTTTAAAAAATGGTCCATGGTCAATGGTTTTGCCCCAGACACTGTGCATCACTCGGGGATGGAAAAAAAATCGTCATCGTTATATATCGAGCGTTGGAGTGGGTAGCTAGGCGACCCAACAGTCAAAACATGCGCGATCGAGCTTTCGCAGCATTGCATTTTTTTCTTGTCATCCTCTCGGCTGTTTAATTTCCGAAAATTATTTACGCAGCTCTGAGTACTCTTACTTGCCGGAAAAAAAATCCTCACGTCTTGCCAGACGTAATAATTCCCTTTAAAAAAAGAGATTGGAGATAAAGATGTTCGCCTCCTTACCGATGCGAATATTTCGCCGGTGACATTAGCAGCCTAGAGGACATTTGAATAATTAATGATTCCCTAAGTAAAGCCACTAACAATGAATTTGAATGTCGAAGGCATTTCAATATCAACTCACACATGAGCAAATAGAATCGATAGTTTATGAAGCCAACGGCTAGCGAGAAAAATAACCGGATCAATTAATCGATTTCAACGTGCTCTAGATTATTCAGAATAGATAAAACTAATGATCAACGTTCTCTCGGTTTTTACGTAGAATATCCTCTCGGTGGATCCAATCGCCAAGACCTGTACATTGGAGGGTTCCACCGGGGGTGGAAAGTCGTATCAATTTGACGCGGCGTTTGGTCCAGACAGCACAACTGAAAAGGTCTACGAGGACGTGGGTTCGGTCGTTGTTGAGGCCGTCCTCGAAGGCTACAATGGCACCGTCTTCGCCTATGGCCAGACTGGCTGCGGCAAGTCCCACACGATGCACGGCTTCGTCGAGAAAACCCTGGAGCACATCTTCGAGGCGACATCGACAGCTTCTTCCGACACCCGATACCTGGCGCTTCTGTCTTACCTCGAGATTTATAACGAACGACTGCGGGATCTCCTCCAGGACAACTGCGTCGAGGGTAGCCTCCAGCTGAAGGAGGACCCTTCGCGCGGGACTTACGTCGCCGGAGGCCTGCGGGAGGTCACCGTCAAGGACGCGGCGGAGTGCGCCAGACTGGTGGAGCAGGGGGACAAGCGGCGCGCATTGGCGGCGACGAAGATGAACGCGACATCCTCGAGGAGTCACGCGGTGTTGACGATTTCTCTGGAGGCCTTGGCCATGGGGGAGGACACGGCGAAGCGGGGGGCAGCGGTGAGAAGGGGTCGGCTCCATCTGGTGGATTTGGCTGGGTCTGAGAGGCAATCGCGGACTGGGGCCGCTGGCGATCGGCTGAAGGAGGCTGCTAGCATCAATCTGAGTTTGTCAGCACTCGGGAATGTGATCAGTGCACTTGCCGCGGGGAACGGGCGACATGTGCCGTACAGGGACAGCAAGCTGACGAGACTTTTGAGGGATAGTCTGGGGGGGAATGCGAGGACTTTGATGATAGCCTGTGTGAGTCCCTCCGATGACAACGGGGAGGAGACACTGAGCACGCTGAGGTACGCCGCCAGGGCGAGGTGCATTAAAAATAAACCCGTTGTCAATGAGGACCCCAAGGACGCGCTGTTGAGGCAGTATCAGCTCGAGCTGCAGCGGCTGAAGAAGTTGTTGGAAGGATCGAAGGATTTTGATGGGGATGATGAGGAGGAGAGGGAGACGAATTTGACGTACAACGAGGAGGTGGAGAAGTTGAAGAGGGAGTGCGAGGACTCGAACATGTCGGCGCAGAGGCTGCGGGAGGAGCTGGAGGCCCTCAGGGGGAGGTATGAGAGTGGGAAGGAGAATTTCGCCGCGGAGACGGGGCTGCAGGCCAAGGTCTGGACCTCCACCACGAGGGAGATCGACGAGAAGAGGAGGAGGAAGAGGGAGGCTGCCAAGAGGGAGGTCATGCGGCGGCTGGAGAGGCTCACCATTGGGGGAGAGGCGCAGGGGGATGCTGAGTTGAGGAAACGGAGGGAGAGGAGGAGGCGGCGGCTGGAGATCATCGCTGCGGCGCTGGAGAAGAGCGCGCAGGAGGGGAGTGGCGGGGCCTTCGAGGTCTATGGACAGCTGAGGACTACTGAGGATGCCCTCAAGAGGATGGCTAAGAGGACCAAACAACTGGAGGCTGAAGCTCTCGATCTTCAGGTGAATTCGATTGAGAAATTTCGGCGAAAATACTATTTTTAGCGCATATTATTGCAAACTCATAACGCCAGAAATTTTTTTTTTCCTAATTATAAAATGCACTATTTTTTTAGGCGAAAAAAAAAATTTGGTGGAAATTTCCTCCTGAATTTAAAAATTCGTGTTATCAACTTTTCAGCATTTTTTAACGACATTCTAGTCAAAAATGCAAAAAATCTCGTAAAATTTGCAGCACGATTACTATAATTTACTATCAAATTTTTATCAGACTCATTCTCTTCATCTGAAATTACAAATTACTGATGCAATTTTTTGAGTGATTCCGCATTTTTTTTATCGTCTGCACAAAATATGAAGTCGACTAGTTTTCTTCAGACGTGAATAATCATTTTCACTCGAAAAACATTGTGAACACGTAATAAGAGTTTACTCCACTCTGATTGAAACGTTTCCTTTCAATTAACTTCCTTAGGGAGAATTATAAGAGAATGAAATGGGGAGGAGAGAGCAAGCTTGACTGGTAGTTCTCCTGATTGAGGGAATTATAAAAAGATCGTGGCCTTGAGCTGATATTTTTTGAGCGATAGTCACGATAGGTATCTTCTGTCCAATCATTCTACTATTAGGGATTCATTAAATTCATAAACAGTTGGGGATCTTGTGAATAGACGGCACTGAAATTGCTTCGAATTTCTAATTTTAAAATCCTGGAGCAGTTCCAAGTGCGTAATCTAGTGCTCAATTACATATTCAGGGATTAATTAAAATTTTATTCATTGGCGCATGTCAATAAGCATTGACATTGAATTATTTCCAGACTCCTAATTATTTTCGAACCTCTCCTCCCCTTCAATTCAACCCAATTTCATTTCATAAATAATGCTGCATATTATGTCATACAAAAGTAATCCCATTTATCTTATACAGAATATAAAAATATATGAATTATTCTCATCGATATCCTCATATTTATCTGAACAAAGCCATCAAAAGAAAATTGAAAATAATTCATAAAAATCATCATTGAATTCTAGACCAGTCTCAAGTGAATAATCTAGTGTTCAATTGTATATTCAGGAGTGAATTAAAATTTCATTCATAAGCGCACGTCAACAAGCATTGGCATTAAATTATTTCTAGGCAACTAATCATTTTCAAACCTCTTCCTCTTCCCCTTGTCAATCGATTTGATAAATCGCGGGGTATTTAACGCGAGTGGCATCTAATACCGTTACCCCAAATCACTCCATAAAAGAAATTATAAGACTCCCGTTATTTTGTAATACCCCGTAGGCGTCCTGGGACGCGGAACGTCGTGAACTCTTACGGAGAGAACTGCTTGCAACACAGATATGCGAGGCTATGCTGCCGCATCTGCGTCCTGGTTGTCCGTTGCGTGACCTCACCGCTGTACGTGCTGCAGCAACATGGTGCGATGAGCTTGGTAGATGGAGATTGCCGGATGCCTCGTCCAGAATACCACTGCCACCTCCACCACCGCTGGGACGCGACGGCCGGAGATCAAAACCCGATCACAATAATAATAGTGATGATAAGGATAGCGATGATGAGTCGAGGGGTGAAATGAGCCATCACGAGAGGAAGGACATTGTCGGGACTTATTTCAAGAGGAATAGAATTGATGAGCTGTTGGCTAGGGCTAGGGAGGCCAAGACCTTTGGTAAATATTTGAGAAGTTTCGCGAGGGGAAATTTTTCATTCACTGAGCACTAGACTTGGGAATTTGCACCGTTTTCGCTGTAATATTATCAATAATATCATATTTTAATATAATAATGTAATATCAAAAATAATATTTTTGTAATATTGTAATATCATAATATTTTTTTGGAAATTTTTATTGAGTGACAGCTCTAATGCAATTTCAAGAAATTTCATTAAAAATTCCAATTTTTATGGAAAAACCCGTGAAATCTGTAACTTCCAGTTCAATTTTTTTATGAGAATGCACAGAAATCAGGAAAATTTAGGTAAATATACTCTTCAATTTCAAATTAAGGATATCCAAGTATCTTTTAATCATTTTCAATCATCAAATTTGTCAATTAAACTACGTGAGAAAAATTTGAAAAAAAATCATGAATATACAGAATTATTATTTTTTTAAACAGTTGTTGTTTTTAGGCAGGAAATCGATTTCTGGTAAAATTCTGAAAATGAATAAATTTGTTATGATTTGGAAAAAACGATTTTAAATTATTTATTAATTTTTTAAAATTATTTCATCAATCTTCCTCCAAAAGTAAACTTTCTAATTTTTTTCAGATTTTTTAAATATTTTCTAACGGTTCAATATCGACATTAAAATTCAGACCCCCAAAATTTAAATAATAAAATCATTGTAAAATGCCCAGAAACTGGGATATTCAACTACAAAACTAGAAAAGCATTTCACTCGAGAGAAAATAGCCAAAGTACTTAGATATCCTCAATTGAAAATTCTTCATAATTTCATTAAAAATTTCCATTAAAAATTCACGTAAATGGGAATTTTATAGAATTCCCACTGAAATTCCACAATTTTTTCCCTCTAAATCGCACTCGATGTCAACGCATTGCCGACGATAACTGCTCTTTTTCTAGAAACCAACGGTAGACTAAGTAAATCCGGTGGTTCGGACGACTCCACCAACAGCTACCTTCAGCTGAATGCCCTGAACCTCCAGACGAGTGCCCCAACCGTGGAGACCCCTGGCAAAGTCCCCGCACATCTCGCTGGAGGACGTCCCATAGGCTCCTTCAACGCCTGGCTGGTCCAGGACACAGCGCCCCGGTCAATGCTGAGTTCAAGTCATTCCAAGAAAATACCTCCACGTATTCTCGAGGCTCTGCCCTCCCGCATGACCTCCTGACGAGACTACGATGCTAAGGATCGTCAGTCATATCAATTTTTACGATATGTTCTCGATGGTCTCCAGTGAAAGTCATTACGTAAAGCTGCAAAACCGAAGAGACTCTTATTTTTTAATACTTTTGATTGTGGAACAGGCAGTCTTCATTGGGAGATGTGCGGCGGATTTGGAGGCTTCTCTGACAGTCGCAGAATCGTTTTTTTATTCCTCCAGAGGTCATGGATGGGGACAATTGCAGGCCTGTGGACAGTTGTTAATGCACATTACGTGCGTCAAAGTGTTCCAAAGAAATTTTATTTGATTCCATAAAATACTCTGTTCTGTGAATACTTAACAGATGTCTCCGGTGATAAATACAAAGTGCTAAGTGCGAATTTTAATCAATAACCAGTCTCAGGAGTGAGAAAAAACTCAAATGAACAAACAACGAGTGCTCGATTGCGAGATAATCTCTCTCTTCGTGGAGTTTTTTTTCTCTCGTTTAACGACTCTTGCGATCATTATCTGATCGTTCATGACCCACACGGTTCACAATATATCTTTTTGAGTATGATAATTGTTACTTGTACATGGGGTACATAAATTGAAGGTATTTGTCAAGGCTTTGAGGTGTTTTCTTTTAGTTTATTCAGGTCAAAACTTTCCATAAACCTAGGCTTACTCGTGGAGAGAGGTGGACGAAAATAATGAAGAATGCATAAGTTTCTAGAGACTATTACGGCTTGAGTGGGATCGCGTGCTCTTGGGGATGACTACGTACTTCCTGTTCTGCAGAAGTTTGTAAAAATTGTGGAACATCGCGAGTTCAACTGCATATCTCGGACTTTTTTCACAAGCAATATTTCCACTGAAATTTTTTCATTAAAAGATTACTTTTCAGGAATTTTAGATGAATTATTCACTCGAAATGATGGAGAATTTGGACAATTCGGTTGAATATATTTTTAGAATTTCAAAAATTGAATTTGAAAGTTCATTAGAATTTTCCTCTCAAATCGAATTTAATTGCTTGCTGATTATCGATTAATTTTTCATTTTTTCCATAATAATGTCATCGGTTACTGATTTCCGTTCTGCAGACGTCCACAAAAATCATGAAACATAATCAGTTCAACTACTACTAATTTCAAAGAATTAGAAATTTAACTCAATTTGATAGCCAAACAATTCAAGTTCACTTCAATTTCAAGGTAAAACTCGAAATTACCTGAGACATTTCCCCTCGAGTGGAATTACCCCATTATCCACAAAACGCCAATATTTTCCCAACAATGTATCATCGTTTACTGATTCCTGTATTTACATTCCGTAAATTTTCCCAGAAATCCATCGATCGTGACACAATTATCCCCAGGCATTTGAACTCGGCTTATCTATCGCGCACACCGATGATCTCTTCAGTTGAACCGACCGGAATAAATGTAATAAATATTTTATTTCAAATGACTGATAAGAATTCAGGAAACGTGAAATCACGATTCAGTTTCATGTCTAATCTCACCTCCACGATTTAACTCGAAATGCAGAGCACATCCTGCGAATGATTTTCCCATGTTATATCTAACCGAATAATGGCTGATTTCAAAATGAAAAGGCAAGTGCCCCACGAATGAAAGCGAGTTTGGAAGCATTAAAAAAAATGAGTATCTTTTTATGGTATATTTTTTGTCTTCCTCGGCTCCGCGAATGAGCTACTTTTACTTTCACGTTGAAGTTGCTACAAAACATTGCCGGCGCGCGAAATTACCCAAACACTTTAAAGAAGCTCACACACCATTGAAAATAACCGCTTTCCCCTCTTGAAAGTGTCTGCTCTCTCATTCATTCTTTTTATTCCCATTATCCAGTGTTGATGGACAAAAGGGAGATGTGATTTACGGCGAAGACAGGGATCGGCATCAACCATTAAATTATTAAAATTACGTCGAGGTGCACCTTAAAATGATTATGGGTCACTTATCTTCATTGAAATTTGAGAAATAACAAAATAATTGGTAATCTAAATTGTCAATTGGCTGTTGAGTAAATTATTCTATAATGCTAAATTTCATAAAAGGATTTTTCAATTAGTCAAATAATCGTCGATCTTCCGAACTGAATTTGAATATTTAATTGATGATTAATTTCATAGTTTAACAATTGTTTTAACTTCATTTAAAATTTATGATTGTGCCGATGTCAGTCATTCCCGAAGAAAGAAAAAGAGCTGTGCACGCAATTTATTCATTATTTCGACTAAATTGCCTGAAAAACTTGCAGAAAATCCATGTTTTTTTAATCTAATCGAAAGATTACAGAACCCAGAATTGGGCAGTATTTTAATATTTTAAATAAATATTGGATATTTCATTCTACCGAAACAAACATTAAATAATATTCACTAATTTATTTCACTATTTAAATCTCCATGAAATAGTGCATAATATTTAGCATAATTATTTTATTTGACTAACCCTGTGACTAATACTTCGAAAATTGTTCTTTCAGTTCTAATTTTACCGGCAAAAAAAAATATTTCAAGTAATAAAATGAAAAAAAAAAAGAAAATTCTCGATCGAATTATTTAAATACTTTTCATTTGTCGTGTTCGATAACTCCAGGAGTAATAATTAATCATGAATAATGAAAAATTATATTACATTGGAGGGAAACGATGATCTTGAAAGAACCGAAAACAATTGTGCACAACGAAAACGAAAGCAACGGGAGAAAAAAATTGAAATAAAGAGATAAGCCCGAATGATCTGTCACACTGATGGCAGATCATGCAGTAGTGAGTCCAAGTTCCATTTGAATCATTTCCCTCACCGAGAGGGACTGACACACGCGAGTGTCACTCACACAATGACAAAACGAAAAGAGATTGTTGGGTACGCGTGAGCCATTCTGTGTGGAATCGTGTGTTTGTATCGGCGGTATTACGAGGTAGTAGGAGAAGAGAACGGAGAGAAATAGAGATAGCGAAGAGGAACGGAGCAGTTGCCAGCTGGTTGTCGTTTCGAGTGTAGCGTTAACGCTGGAATGAAATAAAACTGCTACCTCCAGAGGCCTATTATCGTGGACAGAGGACGAAATTTTGTTTTCAAAAAATTCACCCGAGACAGTTGAGCCATGACGTGGGCTGGAGTTGTCATTGAGTTCAGTGGAAAATAGTTGATTAGTCAGACGTGATGTTTTTCGGAAGTTTTATCGAGTGAGCAATAACAATGTCGTCGGTATTTTCAAAGTTAATAGACAAGACGTCAGCGAGGTACGGCGTCAGGCAGGAAACACTGACACGCGGAGTTGTGGGAACTGTCACGGCGTTATATCTTCTCAAACTCACGTATCCCCACATTGTCAAGCTCACCAGCAAGCTCAATGCGAGTAAAAAGCCCGCGATATCGCCCAATGAGGCGCTGAAGAATGGCAAAACTGGTGGGAAAATATCTTCCACAAAGAGAATTCCCAATGTCGGACTCGACAGGGCCTTTGTCAAGCAACTTCTTGAGCTTCTGAAGATCATGGTACCGGGATGGCGCTCGAAAGAAGCTGGACTACTGACATGCGCAACTGTAACACTACTGGCTAGAACATTTTTGTCTGTTTACGTAGCCACTCTCGAGGGACAAATTGTCAAGAGAATTGTCCTCAAGGATGCTCGGGGCTTTTTTAAAATGCTCGCCAGGTGGTTTGCCATTGCATTCCCAGCTACTTTCGTTAATTCAGCCATTAGGTACTTGGAGGGAAGGCTTGCTCTCAGCTTTAGGTACAGCGGAATAATTCCTGTTATTTACTCCATTACAATTACGTACAATCTCTTTTCTCATTGTTGTGATTCTCGTGACTATTGAATTGCAGAGAGCGACTCGTTCAGTATGCCTACAAGATGTACTTGTCTCAACAGACGTATTACAGAGTTTCGGCGCTCGATAATAGACTCGGGGGGGCTGAACAAAGACTGACTGATGATTTATCGGAATTAGCTTCTTCTATGGCACATTTGTACTCGAGCTTGACGAAACCTCTGCTCGATTGTGCACTTGTGGGAATCGCTTTGGTATCTTTCTCACATAGGATGGGGGCCAGGACGATACCAGGTAAATAAATCGATCGATTTGGTTCGAGGAGAGTTTTTGGCATTTTGTTCTCCGAATTTTTATCTCACAGTTTCATTGAAATTTCAAGAAATTTTAAGAAACTTCATTTTACTTAATCCATGAACATTAATAGAACTTGGAAACATTCGGGGAAATGTATTCTTGAATTAACGTTTTGACTAAAAAGTCATTAATTTTCACTGAAATATGAAATTTCGTAATTTTCCCCCCCAAATTAAATTCACATCTCACTCTCCTAAACATTTCTTGTCACCTGTTGATGAAATTTAATTTTTCTTCAAGCAATCTACCACTCACCATCTCAGAAGCCACTTTTGCGTCATGATAATCATATTATTAATTAATACGTCATGAATAACGCGATGCTAATGAACTAATGAATTCCTCAGAGGAGCACTTATATCTCCTCGTGGAATCAAAAACAAGTTTATCTAATCACGTGTAGATATTTCTCGATCGTTCGACTGACCTTTTAAGCAGTAAAGTCTCATTACCCTCGAGACATTGAGAAAACGAGATCAATCTCTCCGTCGAAGGAATCGCGCAATTCTCGCTCTTATCGTCCGCTATTGCAGGACCATTGTTGGCGGCCGGTGTTATAGCAATAACCGGTCAGGTGCTCCGACTGGCGTCACCCAGATTCGGCCAACTCGTTGCCGAAGAGGCCAACAGACGTGGACGACTCAGAGAGGCGCATGCCAGGATCAGTGCACATGCTGAGGAAATCGCTTTCTATGGGGGACATAACACTGAGCATCGCTATCTCACAACAGCTTACAGAGCTCTTGTCGTTCATCTGAGGAAGGTTTTGGCTCTCAAACTGTGGTATGTCATGCTCGAGCAACTTCTTATGAAGTACGTGTGGTCCGGGACTGGATTACTCGTTATTGCTATGCCACTTTTGTATACGAGCTCCAAGACCTTGGCTAGGAACGCTTATAACGATGGCGATGGTAAGCATGAAGAATTTTTGTCACAAGAATTTTTTTCAAGAACTATTGTAAGTTATTTCACTGTTTTACTATTTTTTTTCAATACATTCTTTCTTGTGACATCATTTTGCTTCGTTTTTTGTGGAAGAAGTTGTTTTAATTGCTCGGAATTGTTTTTTGAGGGGATGTTTTTTTCTCGAATTTAATACTCTTTGATGATTTTTCTTATTTGGAAAAGGAAATTTATACCTTCCGGTGGATTAAGAATCCTTGAATGGATTTTTTTATCTCCAAACAGATGTTTTTTAACCATTTTTCAAATTGTTTCAAATTATTCGATTTCTTATGATTTTTCAATCATTTTTTTCTCATTTATTTCATGTTAAAAATAAAAATTGTGAAATCCATATCTTGTTGTCCATTAAGAATTCTTGATTGGACATGTGTTAAATTCTTTATTTGAAATCGTTTGCGATGATCTGACCTTATAACAATTTTTGAATCGTTTTCTGACACTATTTTCTCATTTATTTTCCATGAAAGTGAGAAATTATGAAATTGATTTAATAACTTCCCATTCCTCACTTTCAATCCATTCCATTCAATTGATTTGTTATAAAAGTGTCACAATTTATAGCTTCCATATCTTCCCGTGAATTATGAATTCCTGAATGAATGTTATTCTCGCCGAATGGATGTTTTTTAGTCGAGGAAAACGAGTTCTCGGACGGGGGTTAATTAAGGAGACGCGAATAGACCCGACTTTTTACTGCGTTCGTGAGACTTTGTTTTGTCATCCGGAGATGATATGGATTTTTTTTTTTTTCGAAAGTAAATGTCTCTTGAGTGCACTCAAGCAATTTGTTATCAACGAGACAATTTTAATTTTATTCTGAAATTAATTCATTATTATTCATTATTTTATGTGCGATCCACATCATGAATTTTTACGAGATGAAGGTCGTTGTGACGAGGTCATTTCGGATGCTGCTAGCTGTGACCCAACTTATCGAATTTTGGCACAAGGTCAAATTTGCATGTCTGGTATTCTGGGTTGTTTCAAGATTTTTCCGATGTATCGATACTGCGAATGCAATCGTCGAAAGTTTATAAATGTCTTGGTCAATGTGATCTTATAAATAGACGTTTGCCTTTCATACATGGAAATAATGCATAATTAAATTGCATCAATTAATTTAAAAAATTAATCGAGTGATAGAAAAATCCAATCGAATTCAATTCAACTGCCGGTTTTGATTTTTAAAAATCACAAATTGATAATTTTTTTCTCGAGTATTTGATAATGACCAATAATTCGATATTCAATTACATTAATTGATCTAAAAAAGTGAAGAGTGAAGAAAAAAAATCCAAGTCAATTCAACTGCGAATTTGACAAAAAACATCACGAGAGGATGAGAAAAAAATTGGCTTCGACGATTCAAAATGATGGAACTCCTCTAATTAATGCAATTAATCCTGCAGGAGGTGTCAGCGAACGCACTCGGTACCTCACGACCTCGAAAAATCTCCTCAGTTCAGGTGCCGATGCCGTGGAGCGACTCATGTCCTCTTACAAGGTAATTTTCCGACACTAAAACCTCAGTCATAAAAAAGAATTAATAAAATTAGCGACATCATAGTCTGCTGACATGAATAATGCAAGCTAAATTCCTCCGTTCATAAAAACTTCGTGAACTCAGATCTGCATAATTGATAAACAAGGAGAAACAATTATTCTCGCCTGCCCCTTCGCCTCTTTTATAATCAAACATGAAAAATCAATCAATCAGACGCATAATCGAAATCAATAATTCATCGTTGATGACCACTTCTGCTGTCAGAGATTAGACGGAAATTAATAAACAAATTATGAGAACAATTGAATTCATGCAACTTTTAGTGCCTTTCCATGAAAAAAGGGCAGGTTTTACTGTTAGACAGGAAAATTTATCCTTTTTGTGTCATATTTTTCACCATTTGAAATAAAAATCCTTGAAACATACTCTTGATCCACTAATTGAGTGCAGTAATTTTTCGCTGATTTTTTTCCATAAAAATTGAATCCGTAATTTGCATTTTCTCGAAGATTTCAAATACGTAACATACAATAATTACCAAACGACAAGCATCAATTTTTTAATGCAATTTAGTTTTTGCTTTTCATCTAATTCATGTAGAATTTTGTAGTGAAATACTAGACTAAATTAGTCAATACGATTTCATTTTTCATTCCGTCAGACGAAACTATAAAATACCTATTTCATTTTAATTTCAGAAAGCCAAATAAATAAATTCCATTTGATCGATCGAAGTAGTCCTCTCGCGATATCTATTTAAAATAGCATTTCTCTTTGATTTTCCTGAGATAGAGCCCACTCTTATTTATCTAAACCCGCAAAAAAAAATTAAATTCATCACTCGATGATTCAGGAATTAGTAGCGCTCGCCGGTTACGCAAACCGCGTGAGTGAGATGCTGGAGGTCTTCAAGGACACAGCCCTCTGTAAATACCAGAAAAACGTGGTGTTGAGCCAGCAGCTGATCCGCGGCTCCCCTACGAACGGATCCCTCTCGTGCGAGAAGATCCTTGAGTTCAGGGACGGAGCCCCAGTGATAAAGGGGATCATCAAGGAGTCCCTGGACGGCAGTATCGCCCTGGAGAACGTCCCCATTGTGACCCCCAACTGCGAAGTGATCGTGCCAAGTCTGACGATGACGATCAAGCCAGGAGATCACTTGCTGATCACTGGACCCAACGGTTGTGGCAAGAGTTCTCTCTTCAGGATCATCTCGGGCCTCTGGCCCGTGTACGGAGGGACCTTGACTCGCCCTGGGGACTCTTACCTCATTAGAACCGGAAGGTCCGCCATGTTCTACATCCCCCAGAAGCCTTACATGACTGTTGGCTGCCTTCGGGAGCAAATTACCTACCCCGCGGACTCCACGAACGCCGGCTGCACTGACGAGGAGCTTCTCCAGCTGCTGGACCTTGTGGATCTTCGGTGTCTCGCTGAGAGGGAGCCCGAGGGACTCGACGCCATGGGAGACTGGGACTCCACACTCTCTGGGGGGGAGAAACAGAGGGTCGCGATGACGAGGCTGTTCTATCATGCGCCGCAGTATGCGCTGTTGGACGAGTGCACCAGCGCCGTCAGCCTTGAGGCCGAGGGACTCATGTACGAGACCGCTAAACAACGGGGAATCACCCTTTTGACTATTACTCACAGGGTCTCATCGCTGGCCAAGTATCACAGGTTCGTGCTCAGGTTCGATGGGGAGGGCGGCTGGAACTTTGGACTCCTGGAGGGGAATGATGCCGGGGGGAATGCCGTTGGGAGAGACGTCAGGAGCGATGGGGGAAAGGATTCAAGGGGGAATAAATTGCAGGTAGAGAATTATTTGTTATTGGCGTTTATTGATGCTGAAGAAAATTGTTGGGATGATTTGGAGGTTACTCTTGAAGATTGAGGTTTATTACTCATTGAGGTTTAATAAAATTTGAAGAATTTCGTCACTGGAAATTGAAAATTTTAGGGAAAAATTCAATGGAATGTCTCGTTTTAGAATTTCATTGAATTTGCAGTGAAATCTATTAATTCTTATTTGTTAGTGGTGTTTATTGATGCTGAAGAAAATTATTGGGATGATTTTGAGGTGTTATTCTTGAAGATGGATTTATTGAGGTTTAAGTACTTTTAAGAATTTTTAATATTTTACGAAAATTTGAAATTGAAAATTTGATGGAAAAATTCTGGTAAATATAGTCTCGTTTTTTAGTTAATTGAGAATTCACCGGAATTTGGTGCAGAATATTAATTTTGATTGAAAAAAATTAAATTTGGAAATTCACGTTTTAGAATTTCATTGAATTTCATGAATTTGTTGCAGGAAATTCGTGATTTGGTTACGGAAGACACTCAACAGCACGGCATCAGCTGAAAACGCGCATGATTTCTTAATTTCGTGATGATGATTATGGTGGCGTTGTGGTGATTAGGACAATTTTTATAAACAGACTATTGTATATTTAAATGTTATCGAATGCAGTCAATTGTGAAGTGGTAAAACATGGTGAAAGAGATGACAAGCGACGTTTTCCTCGGTAAAAAGGTTCACATTGACTCATGAAGGTCCGCCACTCCCCTTCTGAGCTACGTTTTATTTTTTAGATTGGAATCTACGATAAATCCTCCCCGAAGAATATGTGAAATGTTTATCTTTTGCTACCAGACAGTATTTCGTAGCATACATAAATAAATATGTGAGATGGAAAATTCTTAATTATTTCTCATCCTATTCCTCCAATACACTCAGTACCACAGAAAATATTCTATAAAAAAATCAATAGAATTGAATTTTTCTATGCAATATATTGAGATATTTTCTATAGAAACTCTTCGGCCCAAATTCTTCAAGTGTTTTTGTTTAATTTTTTCCAGGAGACAAGTAGAAAAATCATTTGAAAAAAAATTTAGATAATTGATGTCAAGGGATTTCTATAGAAAATGTCTCAATAAAAAAAAGTTTAATAGAAAAATGAAATTCTAGTGATTTTTTCTATGGAAGAGTTTCTATTGGACATTTTCCAAAAAAATCGGAAATGCGAAATTCTTTAATAGAATTCCCTAAACTTTAATAGAATTTTCAATAACAGTGCAACAGAAATCAACAGAAATAGCGAATAGAAAAGTTCAATAGAAATCAACAGAATCGAATTCTATCGAATTCACCATTTTTTTCTATGAAATGTTTTCCTGCGTCCGCTGGTATGTGTGACGCTGAATGAGTGAAAATTTCTGGTGCCTCGAGTGCGCAAGAAACCACTTGCGTCACTCAATGTTGCAATTTCCATCATTCATACACGTCGATTGAAAAATTCTGCACATTTTCTCTGACCGAGGGAATGAATAAATCAGTTTCCAGGGGTCAACGCTCGATTTTTTCCGCCTTTTCTCCCAGTATTTTTAGAATTTTGTCACTGTGGGAGAGAGAATGAAGAGAGAAATTAATTAACGCATTGACGCTGTGTTTTCAAGGGCCGTCGAGGGCTCGTGGAGAACAGTTGGAACGGCGGGGGCCGGAGGGGGGCGAAGAGGGGGCGACAGACGAGAGAGGGAAAATGGGGGTGGGAGGTAGATGCTAGGGGAGGGAAGACCCGCAATTTCCGATGAGCTTACCTCCGGGAAACCCTCTAAAGGCTAAACGTCGATACCGGGACACAGAACAGCCAGGGCTAGTCAGCCATCTTGAACAGAGTAGTCGACTACGCGGGGGTTGTATATCATGTACATTCAATGAACAAGTCGAAACTAATGCAATTCACCTTTAATTCTATCCAGCAAGCGAGAGCGTTTCAGAGTGAAAGGAGAGGCTGAAATGTTTCAATAAAATCGAGATAGATTTTTACTGATTCCTTCGGTGAATGATCAAACAGAAGACTTTTTTATCAATTAACATAATACGGTTTTTTAAATTAGCAATTAACGATTTTTTAAACCAAAACAATTGCCAATAATTTTTTGTCAATGTCAATTTAATTGATTTGCATAATAAAGAATGAAAACATGAGGGAAAAAAATGTTTCGGATTTTTGTGGGAAAAGCTGAAATGTTTCAAGAAAATCGAGATAGATTTTTACTGATTCCTTCGGTGAATGATCAAACAGAAGACTTTTTTTTATCAATTAACATAATACGGTTTTTTTAATTAGCAATTAACGATTTTTTAAACCAAAACAATTGCCAATAATTTTTTCTAAATGTCAATTTAATTGATTTGCATAATAAAGAATGAAAACATGAGAGAAAAAAATGTTTCGGATTTTTGTGGGAAAAGCTGAAATGTTTCAAGAAAATCGAGATAGATTTTTACTGATTACTTTTCTGAATAATCAAACATAATACGATTTTTTTATTATTAATTGAATATTTTTTAAACCAAAACAATTGCCAATATTTTTATTATCGATGTCAATTGAAAAAATAATGAGAGAAAATTTTTTTCGGATTTTTTCAGGAAAGGCCAAAATGTTTCAATAAAATCGAGAAATATTTTTACTAATTCCTTTGAAGAATGACAAAAATCGTTTAAAATTCTTTAATAACAATTGATTCTCCCTCCGATCATCATTGTCAATTAAATTGATTTGAATAACACAGAAAAAAATGAAAAAAAAATTATCTCCAAAAGTATCAAATTTCTTCTTACTTTAAAAATGAGAACAGCTGGTCATTGAGTAAATAAGTAGTATTATTCTTACCCTTTAGGATTACTTCTTCTTTTCCGTTGTCTTTGGAAGGAATACGACCGATTGAATTACCAGAGGATGGCGCGTGCCAACGACCGCCCTCAAAGCGGAAATGCAACCGAACATGACAGAAGAGAATGAAAACGTTAATCTCTCGATTGAGAAACATTCGCTTATTTCAGGAGGACGAGTCTATCGCCCGTCCCGATGACAAGATAAAATCCACTCATCAGCGATAAAGAATTATGCTGGGGTGTATTAAACCGAGGGGATGCGACCACAAAGTTTAATTACGCTGCATCCTCCTGTGGGTTTTATCGCGTGCCGGGATTATCCGGTGGGCAATCACTTAGCTGATAGACCGTGTCATACAGCCTAGTGGACCAATCACTCAATTTTTTTTCTCGTCTTTTGAACTGGTGCTTCGGGGGGCTGTAAGCCGGGATTCTGATCACCAGTTACCGCACGGCCCCCGATTTATTCAGGTGGAGGTAAACACAGGTGTTGCTATCTCCCGGAATCATCGCGGTGTTTGATTTTTAGGGGGCAGGGGCGTAGTTGTAGTCGATGGGAATTAATTTTAATGTTTGTATTTTGTTTGGATGGATTTATTTCATACAAATTTATTTGATATTGTGATTCTATGCTTTAAAGTCTTTTATTATCATCATGAATGATACAAAATTATTAAAGACGTGCGGTAGGAGAAACAAAGTAATTATGAACGATTTTATGATTGTCGAGAGGATTTAATGTCATTTGGACAAATTTAGGTGAAGCTATTCTTGAACTTATTTTTTTTATTCTTTAAATTCGTTGCTATCTCCCGGAATCGTCGCGGTGTTTGATTTTTAGGGGGCAGGGGCGTAGTTGTAGTCGATGGGAATTAATTTTAATGTTTGTATTTTGTTTGGATGGATTTATTTCATACAAATTTATTTGATATTGTGATTCTATGCTTTAAAGTCTTTTATTATCATCATGAATGATACAAAATTATTAAAGACGTGCGGTAGGAGAAAAAAGTATTTATGAATGATTTTATGATTGTTGAGAGGAGTTAATGTCATTTGGAATTCATGTGTGAAGAGCGGAAATTAATTAACTATTTCCCGAAAATTTATTAAAAAATATTTTTTAATTTTCAATTGAGAAATCGTAATTTTTTTACTGCTAAAAAATTTGGGATGTCATTGAATTTCCACTGAAATTAAAGAAATGAATTGAAATTGAATGAAATTAAGGAAATCGAGATGAATTAATTTTTTTTATCGTTTTTTTATCGTTTTTATTCGCTAAAAAAAAATTATAAAGACAAATTTTTATTCTAAAAAATCTTATAAATTAAAATTACCTACGTTTCTCTCCTAAAATAAATTTCGTTGAATCAATGCATTTTGATGTTCCATTTTCATCTGAATAGTTCTGTCTCATCAATGAATTCACCCCACTATGAAAAAATGTGAAAAAAAAACCCGGTCAACGAGAATAACTTTTGGGTCCTTGGGTAAATACCACGGGCCCAATCGGCCGGCAACATGTAAGACAATACTTTTATCATGGAAGTTAAACCGTTGTCCCAAGTGAGAAGGAATATCCCATAGCATCCTGACGATGTGTCCACGCGGATGATTCTATCGGATATATTGATGAAAAAATAATACCGGCGACATATCGTCAACCCAATCCTCTTTAACAGGCGCGATGTGGTCGACTTCCCTTTCCTGTTTCCACGTTACATCGGAACTAGCCGACGAGTCAGGTGTGTCCCCGCTGGAGAACTCCACGCGGAGTGGGTAACACGATCTCGGGGGCACATGTGACGAATGGGACATTTTTTTTCTACATTTGTTAATGCCAAATGTTCACAAAAAAATTGAACAAATTGCGGAGAATTCTCTGAATTAATGTGGGCACGACAAAATTTCACAGAAAAAACGCAAATTGCGAGTTTCAGGGAAAATTAGAATGGATTTCTATTGAACTTTTACGAAAATTCTATTAGTTTTTCACTGATTTTCAGCGAGTTGCTTTTTTTAGAAAATGTCTAATAGAAATTCTTTGACATGAATTTTATTAATTCGTAAAGCATTTTATCAATAGATTTAATCCTGCAATTGGTCATGCAATTAGTGCATTCTAAGTAAAAATTGAATGAAATATTAAACATTGCGACATTTATTTAGTCCCTTCGCTTGTATTTTAGGGTATGAAATTGATTATTTACCCTGATTAATCCACGTTTTCAATGATTTTTATTTTTCATTTGAAATCGCACCATTTCCTCCGAAAATATTGATAATTTAACGAACTGAATTTCACACTCGTCATCAGCTATTAATTAATACCCACCATTTCACTAATTAAAAATAATATTGCAATAAAATTAAAAATTGCAATAATTAATTTAAAAAAATATTTCAATTATATGAAGTGACGACAAAACTAAATGTTAAAAAATATTGTCAAATAAACTGAAATTTTCGACATTGTTTTGTCCCTTCACATGTGTTTTAGGGTATGAAATTAATTATTTACCCTGATTAATCCACAAAAAAGTGTCGAGAGGAAGAAGGCATTACGATCGAGTGATCTCAAACATGCAAGGACCACCGTGATCGCGATGGTGTTGTAATGCAATAATGCCCCCGTCAAACATGCGGATGGATCCAGGAGGAACCAGGGATCGCTAAACGACACCGATTCGTATACAGTGTCATCCCTCTCACTGTGCCAACCCCCTTGTATACCCACACATTAATCACTGGATGAACAAATTAGAGAAGGACCGTCGAAAAAAAAATAAGGCTCGATTGCGGATCATGAAGAGGTAAGGGAAAAGAAGAGCAAGAAGAGGCGTCATTGGAGAAGAGTTGGTGTGGGCGAGAGCCGGTGAGAGTAGTTGGTAGTGGGGTGTGACCAAGGGACGGTTAGACTTCAAGTTAGGCTTGTCAGTCTGTCAAGGGGTGCGAAACGGTGTTAACGAGGGTTATCTATTGTCAACATCTTCACCCAGTGAAAGTTCCCCTGAAAAATTAAGGAATCACTCTTCGGTGGATTATAAGTCAATTCGAAAAGATTCCGTCAACTTCAGGCGAATATTTTTCATTAAATTCGCATTTTCGAGTGGCAATTTCGACTCAACTCCGTGGAAATGTTCAAGTTCATGTCGGAGAGGCTCGACGTCATGTGGAATATTGTGACTAGTGATTGTTCTGGATAGAATTTTCCGTCTGGAAATTTTGGATATCAGTTGCAGGAGTACGTGAGGCACATGCGAATGGATCATGGACCTCTGAAAATGTAATCCTCAAGCATGAGCGGAAACCTCGAGGTAAGATCCAATTTCCTTGATTTTTGTGAAGCTGGTGACACGTGGAAAACGCATGGGACATTTGAATGAAAAGGTCCCGGTGGGTTTTCCCAGGGTCTTCTTCCCGCTTCTGTCAGAAATATCGAGTCTAGATTGATTCCGACGAGCCGGGAGGCTCGAGCGATCGCTCTGGTCGAGCTGTTTGCCAAATACTCGAGGGGAAATGTCGGGAAAAATGGAAAAGCCAAGTGTGGGGGCGAAAATATTAATGGAAAATACTCGCGGTGGTTGTGTAGGGGGATACGCGGCGTTGTCAGGACGACGCCAAGGGGCTGGACCACGCAGCATCACTCGGGATAGGGAGCCTCGGGTGTAGAGGATAAGAGGGGCCAGGGGGTGGATCCGGGGGTGGTAAACGTCCCAGAAATTCATCAGAGATGGAGTTTCTGCAGAACCACCATTCGGCCAACAGCTCGGAACCTGCTTATACCCTTGGTAGGTGATTGAATATAATACTTTGTATTTTCGAAATGTATTCCATAAAATTCAGTGATGAAGAGCGCACACGACAAAATTTTGTAGATCTAACAAATTCGGTAGACGATTCCGGTGGATTTATGTTGAACTCTCCACTAGTTTTTGGCTGATTCTATTGAAATGTTCAATAGAATTCGATTCTTCTCTACACTTTATTCTATTCAGATGTTTTCGATAAAATTTCGTCGGTTGAAATTTTCTAAGCTTTTTTCGTTCATTTTATTGATGAAAGTGAAAACAATGGAAGATGTAAGCCAAGGAAATTAAAAAAAAAACTAATAGAAAGATAAATAGAATAGAAATCCAATGGAATTGTCCAACCAAAGCGCTAGGTTTTTCTACTTAATTTTTTTGTGGGCCGCATGCGAAAAAATTTAATGGAAAAGCCTAGCAAATTCGGTGGGGAATTCTATTGGATTTCTATTGAGTTTAATAATAAAATGAGTTGAAAAATAGAGTGGGAGAAACATGGGAAATTCATGTCGAGGAATTCCTATAAAAAATGTCTCAATAGACTGATTTTTTCTGTGAAATAGTTTCTATTAGACATGTTCCATTAAAAAACACGCAGTTAAGATGCGGAATTGTGTAATAGAACGGCCAAGAACTCATAGAATTTTCAATAGAAGTTGATTAGAAATCCAATAGAATTTTCTATCGAATTCGCTGGGTTTTTCTATTAAATTTTCTAGTTCGTGGAAATAAGATTAATAAATTGTACTCAAATCTTAGTGTTTTGAAAATATTTTGGAATCTGATAGAGATGGAGGAATTTTCGTGAGGAACTTTATTGGAATTAATTTCATTATCTCCTGTAATTTCGCGAATATTTAGCTTTCAAGTTCAGGTGAATTATTTAGTTTTCAGCCATCACTTGCTATTTTTTCTAAATATTTCAAAATTTACTGGAGATATTTATTTGTTTGGTAATTATTTTCCTCTAAAAAATAAAAAAATCCTTCTTTTTTTTATTCCTATTTATTTTATTTTTTAAGAATCTATTTTTTTCCTCTAAAAACGGTTCAAAAAAATAAAAATAACACGTGTCCAAATAAAAATGATTGAATCTCCTTAGATTCCACGATATTTGTTTAAAAAAATATTAAAAAATATTATTAATGCCATATTATTACGATTTATTGTCAAGAAAATTATATTTTATCAATAATAAATAAAATACATTTCCGTTTGCTACAATTTTTCGTCTCCATCTGTTAAACCATTTACATTAATTCTCAAAATAAGGTTTAAACGCCTTGTTAGGGTCAGTAGGCAGTATCGAGGCGAGCATTCCGAACGGTCTCTGCGGCACAAGTGTCCTGAGTGTCCTCGGAGGAGAGGAGGCACTGTCAGAGGCCCACCATCATCATCATCAGGGTGATGATGCGACGACAGCTGCTGCTGCCGCGGCAGCTGTCGCTCTAGGAAGTCTTCAGGAATTGCAGTCCAGTCCCGGGGATGAGATAAATCCGGAGACCGGCCAGGGGATTCAGACCAACGGTCAGACTCAAGTCGTCGGGGAATTCGGCGCGAGCTTCTGGGTTGATGACATGGCGGGATTTCCGTTACCTCCGCTCGACCTCGATCCACTACCCCCGGGCTTGTTCAGCCCTTGTTCTGCCACGTACAAGTGAGTCAATTCTCAAAAATGTCCGGCAATTGTCAGAAGCATTGTCATCGTCAGATTCAAGTTTTGGATTTTTTGTGTTATATTTTGTTATATTTTTCTTCAATTGTGCGCTAATGAATGGATGGAATCGAATCCTTTTTTCAAATGTAGGTATTGTTGAGCTCTATCGATCGGCTTTAATTAAAATTTAATTCATCGATTAGTTTTTTAATTTTTCAATTTTTTCGAAAATTGGCTGTCCCACGATCGCTAAAAAAATGTTCTGAATTGGTTGAATGACGGCTTAAAAAATTGTTTGGATGTCCCTTTGACGAAGTTCGAAGGTGAAGGCGATAGCAATAATCGTTGTTTTAATTTATTCGAAAAATTTCAAAAATGTTTTGGAGAAGGTGAGGTAAACCAATTTTAAATCCTCGATATCCTCAATATCTCCGGAACAAGCAATCCGATTCGAATGAATCACCGCTCATTTTGAAGTCCGAAAAAATATCTTCAAATTGAATAAGAAATTGTTCAGTTTCAATCTGCCGATCTCGAGTTATTGCTGGTTGAATACAGCATTCCCAGAGATCAGAGATGTTTTCATTGAGTGATAAATGTTTCGGGTTAAGTTGGGGATGCACGAGATCAGACTGCATGCCGCGGGCGGGGAATCCCAATGGCGAAGGGGTTGCGGACGTCCTGTTATCCCTGAAACACGCGGTGGTCCATCCGGCGAGTCCAACCGGGGGTTATTACACTTCCCCAGTGGGAAATCATCATTATGGCCAGGAGTATGGACAGAATCTGGCACCTCCACCCGTAGCGCCTAGTCATTACGCCACTGGACCTGCCATGTCCGTTAATGTCTCTATGAACATGACCATGAACATGAATATGCATCCAGGGTAAGTGCGTAATTACCCTCAATTATCAATTTTAATTGAATTAATTAAAAATAAATTGATTAAATTTTTTCAATTGAAAATTAATTCAATTTTCTGTCTTTGAAAAGAAAAAAATGAAATTAATTCATTATTCATTTCATTTTTTTGTTTTCTTATAAATAAAAATGAAAACAATTCGCAATAAATGAAAAATAACTAAAACAAAGTTGATTCATTGATAATTTCATTTTTAATTCTCTTAATTTTCGAATTAAAAGGCAATTTCTATAATTTTTAAAACTTTTATTGACAAATATATTTTTCATAATTTATTTCTAGATATGGACATAATAACAAAATTATAGATAAAAATTGAATTGAAAAATTATAAATAAATAAAAACGAAATCAATGAAAATAAAGTTGATGCATTAATAATTTCATTTTAATTTTCTTCATTTTCGAATTGAAACAAATTCACAAATTCTCGCAATTTTTTTCAATTCTATTGAAAAATAGATTTTAATTTTTTATATATTTCTAGTTATGAACAAAGCTATGCATCGGCGTGGGGCGTGGAGCCATTATTGAGTCCCGCCTCTCAATACAACCCCATACAGGAGTCACAGTCGAGGGTAAATCAGACACCGGCCAATAGCTTCGCTGGTCCACACCCCTCGCATTCTCATCCCCACGCGAGACTGCAGTCCACCGTCAACGAGCACGCGCTCTGTGTATCGGGGAATAGCTCCGGTTCCAGTATTATTCATGACGATAATGGGAGACCGAATTTGTGTAAAATTTGTGGAAAAACTTATGCAAGACCTAGTACGCTTAAGACCCATCTTAGAACACACTCCGGGGAAAAACCATTCAGGTACGTAAGAGGATTATTTCCAGCGATTTTTTATTATTCCACAATTTTCGAGAGTCAGGAACATTTTTCGAGGGGGATGTTTGGGGAGATTCGACGTCTTTTCAATGTTGAATTATCATTTTTCTGAATTTTTAAAAAATAATTATGCATTTTCTTACTCGAAATAATTTATTTATGTCGAGGAAACAAAATTCTCTTTGAATTTTCTTCTGAATCCAGTTGTTTTTTGTTAAATTGTTGAACTGAAGGAGTAATTTTTATGAAGACTATTTTTGGAAATTTTATTTTGCCCCAAAAAATCAGTTGTTTCCTAAATTTCGAGATATTCTTTGCAAACTAATTTTTTCTCAAGTGAAATTGACTTTCTATAGTGAAATTGTAAAATGAGATTCCTTAATCTTGATAATCAATTCACAATGAACACCTCCAAAGCTGAAGATATGAAAAATTGTTCCGAAGTCTTTTTTATAAAATCCTATTTGCCCCAGGGATCGACATCAATCATTAGATTATTAATATTAAGAGAATTTGCATCTTAGAATAATTAAGATTTCCTTATTTTCATTGAAATTTGAAAAATAATGCAATAATTGATAACCTAAATTTTCAATTGAATTTAATTGAATAATTGACGCTCCGCAATATCGAAAACATCTCCATAATTTGCAGATGCCACGCTTGTTCGAAAGCCTTCAGCCAAGCAGCGAATTTGACAGCGCACGCGAGAACCCACTCCGGAGAAAAGCCATTTCGATGTCCAGTATGTGACCGAAGATTCTCGCAGAGTAGTTCGGTGACGACGCACATGAGGACACACTCTGGCGAGCGTCCCTACCGGTAATCATACTTACAATTCAAATCAGCTCCAAAAAGTTCTTCATAATCATCAACATCTCTATTGTTCCATTCCCACGTTCATTTTAATTACGTTGGATCTATATTATGTTAAACTTCGACAAACTGGTACTAGAATATTAAACACCATATTTTTTTAAACCGTCATTCGAAAAATTCACTTTCAGAGAAATTTTAGAAAAATAGAAAATGTTTGAAAATTATTATATAAATCAAAACAACGATTATTGCTATTTTTATCTTTGAACTCTGTCAAAGGATAGCGAAGCAGTTTCTTTAATTCATTTCAGTTATCGTGGGACAACCGATTTTTGCAAAAATACCAAAATTCTAAAAATTAATATGGGAAATCATTTTAAATTAACGTCGATAGATGGGGTGCAACAATACCTCCATTAAGGAAATCATTGAACTTCATCAATTCATTTTTGGACTTTTTAAATCATGATGTTGATATAAGACAAAAAAATCCAAAATTGACTCAACTATTGACAATGCCATGATCCAACGTAATTAATCAACAAAATCATCGTAAATTTAGAATTAATGTTTCCTCATCGCTCCGTTGGATTTCAGATGTAGATTCTGCAAGAAAGCATTCTCAGACAGTTCAACCCTGACGAAGCATCTGCGCATTCATTCCGGGGAGAAACCCTACCAGTGTAAATTATGCTTACTACGTTTTAGCCAAAGTGGCAATTTGAACAGGCATATGAGGGTCCACGGTGGCTCTCTGACGTGACACAATACCACGAATCAATCATTATCAATCGATTGTACATGCACGACATTTCCATACTGTCGAATACCAGCCTGTATTCGACTCGGTTCCAACTTACAACGAAATTATTGAATTTTTAGCATTTTACCGAGAATTTATCATTAAAATAATTAAAGTGAGTGTCAACGAAAGTGTTGAGAGATGTCTCCTCGTGTCGTCGAAATGTTTTGCTCCCCAAAAACCAAATGGAAATCCAGTGATCTCTTCAAGATATTATCGAGGGAATCTGAATCATTAAGAGTGGCTAGAGAGCCCTGAACATTCACCACAGCACCGTTGATTATTGTACAAATATTGTATTTATTATAATAATTATTATTAATCATAATTAATATTAATGTTGCGGTTTTCATCACCGTATCATTTATTAAATCATCGTCTATGTTTCTTCATCATCGCACTTTGTCATCTCTCTTCCCCATCAATCATCCGAAATTTATTTATTTATCAAACAAATGACTTTGTTTCATTCTCCATAGCCTTCTCTCTGACGTTTTGTTGCTATTTTAGTTTTATTTGTAAAATAAAAAAGTGTGTTATTTTTTTTCCAAATACTTCTTTCTTCTCTCGCGCCGGTGTCATGTCTCGTCGCAGGGTAAAATAGGGTTTACATGCACATAAACATGCGTAGTACGAATTTTGTGGTACTCGAATTAATTATATACAAGCAGAATTTTTTTTCAATGTTACAACCGATTTGGAGAATGGGGTTGATGGTAGTAATAACAGGAATCGAATGATTATTCAGTGGTTCTTCTTCTTCTTCTTGATGAGGGGTCACTGTCCTAGTACCTGATCCTGCCCCAGTAGCTGAATGATCAGAAAATATAAAGAATTTAGTCAGTCCACAGTGGATTTTTTTCTCATAATATCACTAACTCTACAAATGGAGGAAGAGGAAGAAGAGGAGGCCTCTTGTGATCGACTGTTCAATTTCTTCATTTTTTTTCATCTTTATATATATAATTTGTTTCTTGCAAATAGGAGGGGAGTGATTTAACAATGGAAACATGAAGGAAATGTTACATTTACTTCGATTATTTCATCGCCACATTGGTTTGCCTCTCTTTCTCAGATTGAAATCTTTAATAAGAACAATTTTTCGTTTCAAGCGCATTAAAAATTTTGTGGTACTCGAATTAATTATATACAAGCAGAATTTTTTTTCAATGTTACAACCGATTTGGAGAATGGGGTTGATGGTAGTAATAACAGGAATCGAATGATTATTCAGTGGTTCTTCTTCTTCTTCTGGATGAGGGGTCACTGTCCTAGTACCTGATCCTGCCCCAGTAGCTGAATGATCAGAAAATATAAAGAATTTAGTCAGTCCACAGTGGATTTTTTTCTCATAATATCACTAACTCTACAAATGGAGGAAGAGGAAGAAGAGGAGGCCTCTTGTGATCGACTGTTCAATTTCTTCATTTTTTTTCATCTTTATATATATAATTTGTTTCTTGCAAATAGGAGGGGAGTGATTTAACAATGGAAACATGAAGGAAATGTTACATTTACTTCGATTATTTCATCGCCACATTGATTTGCCTCTCTTTCTCAGATTAAAAACTATAATAAGAACAATTTTTTTTGTTTCATTTTTGTTATCTTCATTCCTTTCTTCACGCACTTAGTCTCAAGTCATTTACACATTCTCAAATCATTCGTACTTTCATCTGTCTTTCACTCTTGATCTCTAATATGTATAATGATGTATAAGTAATTAATATTTCTTAGAAAAAAAAAGAAAAGAAATTGTATAATGCATCTAACTTGTAATGTTTTACTTTGTACGAGTGCGCTAAGACGAGTTGATCAAATTTCAAAAAAATTTTCTTTTAAACATCATTAACTCACTGATTCTTTCGTCAATTTTTTTATCATCAGAGGTCCTCTTATCAGTCGCAAACGTACGCAGTTTAATTTTTACTTTTACTTTTTTTTACTTTTTTATTCTTTTATGCACGTAATCTACATAGAAATATTTTTATCCTCGCGTCTGTCATTATTCTCTGTGTACATGAATTGTGTATGTGATGCTTTTTCACGTATCTCTTTATTTATTTAGCTTTCTCTCTCTTTTTAAATTGAAGATTAGTTTTTATCAGGGATCACTTGCTCCAGAAAAATGTTCAATTTTTCGTTTCACCTCTTCGGTTCCGTCGGTTGGAATGAGTCAATTTTTATCATGGAAATTTTTACACAAATGTTCTTACTCTCAAATAATCCGCGATGGTAGTTGCATTCTTCATTTACCCAATGAAAAATGTCGTTAAATCAGAATAAAATAAAGTGACCAAATAAACTGAGTAGATATGTTTCTCTCTAAAATATATCTTTCTGCAATTCATTTTATTATCAATTAATCGATACCAAATCTCTGCCGATTTCCATCATCTTGTTTTTGAAAAAGAAAGTATCATTCATCCACAACAGCTTCACTGATGCTCTAAAAACATTCTACTTCTCCATAAAATTCCAAAGAAAATACTCGACTTAATTTCTATAATTACTCATATCATCAATTAATTAATAAAACTTGATGTTTTCACTCTCGTCCCATACTTTCACTGTTCAGCACTTTCACTCGTTATTTGCAATTCTCCACAATTTCATGACCAAATAATGAAAAAAAAATTGAAATTTATCGTTTTATTTTTCATACAAAATTGTTGGTGGTCTACCATCGCGGTTTCCTCGTTAATATCAAAACCCAAAAATGACTAAAACGCGGGGAGGAATTAGTGCTGATGGATCATTTATAAATATAATAAGAGGATTTTTTTCCAAGCATTTTAGTTCTCTTCACGTTCTAATGTACCAAAATTGTCTCACCCCGCAAATGTGACAAGAAAATTATCGAGACATTTTTCTCTTCAAACTGTACATATGGAAAAACTCCAATCAATCACACATTTGCGAGCATTAAACAATGATCTTCAGTTGTATATCTCGTTCTAGGTGTTCTTCAGTTGTCTCTCGTGATAGTTATATTTATTTTATACTTTTATATATATAATTAACATATATATAATGTTTTTGTCTTTAATTTTATGATTTTTTCACGTTCATGTTTCATTTTTGTCGACAATATGCTGCACGTTTTCGGTTCCATGACGTTGTTCATTGACAGCAGCATCACTTGGATTATTATCTCTTCGTTCTCAATATTTCCACCATTACAAAGGTATTTAATCGACCCTCGACCTCCTCCCAATTTCAGTTATCGTCGTTATGTTCTTCAATGACTTCTAAAACCCCAAATTACATGACAAACAAGTAATAAGAGAAAGATGTTTAATGGTGTACTTCATATATTACACAGTATGTAACTAGAGATGTAAATATCTTCAATGAATGAGAATCAGCGGTTGAGTAAATGAACGGAAACAGCGACGATAATTAAAAAGAAGAAAAAGTATTTAATGATTTTTTTTGTTTCTCTCGTTCTAATGGGAAATCTCCACAAAATGCCAAAAAATGCGATGCTGCAGATTGTCAGGAGGAAGATTCATAGAAAATAACTGATACGAGAGTAAGAGCCTAAATAAAAAAGAGATGTGTATTACATTAGAATAAAAAGAAAAAATCCATTTTCTTCGTGTAAATCTAAAAAAGTACTCTAAAGAAGCATCTTGTCTGGATCCTCTTGTTATCTACAGCAATCGCTATTTTTTCCTTTCAATTTTCCTTCGAACTATTCCACCGATCTTGTCATAAACATCCACAATTATATTCGACATACCAGAAAAGCTTCACAAGAAAAAAAAAACGAAAACAAAAAAATTGAAATTTAAACTCACTCTCACATTCATCCAGTCATTTATAATTCTTTCTTCTTCTATTCATCTTGCTCTCCTCCCCCTCTCGACGCACAAAATAACTTTTATTTCATTATTACTCAGGCATTCTTTCAACTCTTTCACTCTCTTACTGTTTTTTTCTTCTTTTATCTTTAGGTAATTGTTTCTTTCCTTTTTGTTCTCGGAAGCAGCGGACAGATTTTGGAATATCAGTTGTGCAGGAGTCATGCACGTAAATAATCGTCAATCGATGATTCCAGTGATTTTTTTTTTCCCTCGTAGAAAACAACAAAAGGTGTAAAAAGAAAACAAAAAATGAGGAAATATTTGCAGTTTAGTCTTTTCCTGTTTTCCAGGCGACGTCCAATTTTGGTTCAAGTATTCATTTTTTTGTTCAATCTTCCTTCCAGACGAATGGTAATGATCTCGTGCAAATGGTGGAATTCTTTTTGTTTCTTCGTGTTCTCAATTTGTTAAAAGGGAGGAGATTTGACTATTAATTTTGCTTTTTTTTCTCTTAAAGATCCCAGGATGGTGCTTGAAAAGTATTAATTATTCCCCTTTGTTTTTCTTTATCTCTTGTGGATGTTAGAAAAGAAAAATATGGAAAATGAAAAATTATTCTCATGGTCAACGTGGGCTTGGAGCCGGTGGACTTGGTCGTGGATCAGGATCAGTAACTATGCTGTGTGGTAGTCCAGGTAAACCAGCACTTGGTGGTGCACTTGCTGGTCCACCACTACCACCACCACCAACTGTTGGTCCACCTCCACCCACTGTTGGTCCACCAGTGCTACCACCACCTGCCGATGAGTTTGGACCACTAGCACTACCACCTCCACCAGCGCCAACAACTGAATGACCACCAGGTGGTGGTGGAGCTGAATCATGGGGTGTCGTTGAGTGTGCCTGTTGCATTGGTAGAGCTCCCGCGTAGTATCCACCGTTTATTGCCTCTGGGTAGCTGCTGTTGAAATATTTCCTTTTTAGAGAGAAATATTCAATCACTAAACTAATTAACTACTTGAAAATAATCAGCAGTCAAGTCGTGAAATTCACATAATTTGTCACAATTTTTTTTGTCCACTCATTTTATTCGATAGACTTTATCCCTGTGCTTCGATAAAAAATAACGTTTCATCACTTGACAACTGTAGCGCTGCCTCATAATAAAGAAAATATGCCACAAGATATTTTTTGTAGCAAATTTTCTCCTCTAGATGAGTGCAGAATTATTTTCCTTTACTTAAAAGCTGTAACAATTCCTTACCCAGTGGACGAATGGAAATATTCCTTATTCACGCAGTTCCTCAAACAATCAGGAATACGACCGATAATGGCTCGTCGTATCTCAGTCGCAGCCATTTCACGCAATTCCGAGCAACTTGCATCACTGTAGAACGCTGCATGAGGTGTACACAGTAGATTTGGTGCATCCTTAAGTGGACCTGAACAGGAAAAAATAAAAATCTCGAGTTTATTTGTATTCAATACTTTAAACGAGTATTAAACGAACGATAATGCTGAGGAAATTTCCACAAGAATCCAGTGAACTTGAGGACAGGGTGAGGCCTAGATAAGACTCACATTGGGCATTTGACTGACCCTGAAAGACATTGTATGGCTCGTTCTCATGGACATCGAGGGCTGCTGCACGAATTCTTCCCTGTTTCAGTGCAGCTGCCAGTGCATCGTCATCCACGAGGCCACCTCGTGCTGTGTTTACTAAAAATGCTCCAGGTCTCATCTAAAATGAAGATTAAACACTAATTAATCATCAATTTAATAACAAAGCGGTGGAAAGTGATTCGTTTATCATGAAAAAATGTCTTTTGATTTATTTTTTTTCAATTCTAAAATTACTAGTTAAAATAATTCAACATTAAAACTGCAATTTAAAGATCTAGTGCATTTTTTATCGAAATAATTCAAAATTTAATTTAAACAAAAAAGTAAAAATCAACTCGTTTGTGTTATTAATTTTTAAATATGTCTTTAAATGCTTTACCCATACCTGTTTGATGGTAAATTCATTAATTAAGTGATGATTATGCTCATTGAGAGTACAATGAAGTGAGACACAATCAGACTGATAGAGCAAATCCTGTAGCGTGTAGACTCTCGTGAGACCAAGTGATTTTTCAATGCCATCAGGTAGATATGGATCGTAGAACATGACAATAAATCCAAATGCCTTGGCACGCAATGCAACAGCCGAACCAATTCTTCCTAGTCCTACGATTCCAAGTGTATCACCTCGTATCCTAGCGCAACCCTGGGCTGCCTCTCTCACCTGCTCAGGACCAGTGAATTTTTTTCCCTCTCGCACCATATTGGCAAGCCAGTATGTACGACGATAGAGATTGAGGATGAGACACAGAGTTGTGTCGGCCACTTCTTCAACACCATAACCAGGTACATTGCACACAGCAATACCGAGCTCACCAGCAGCCTTAACATCAATGTTGTCAACTCCCGAGCCAATTCTTACGATAATTCTTAGTGTTTTGAATTTTTCAAGGTCCTCTTTAGTTAGAATAATAGTGTGCCACATCAGTGCTCCAACTGCCTCATTTAGTACCTAATTAGGAGAACAATGAGGTGCTAAATTAGTTGATTTGGAATTCAATCGAGTAACTAGTGTTCATTCATATTGACATCGAGTCATTCTACAGGAAAATCTTTTGATAATTTTCACACATATGATTTTAATATTATCCACTAAATTAACATTATTTTGGAAATTAATGGGTTCAGGGAAATGTCAATATTTTTCAATTAAATAAGAATAATTTTCTTTTTTAATGATCTAATAAACAGGTGGGTTTAAAAAGAAATGTCAGGAGACAATTTTAGGAACTAATTCCTTACAAAAAATGTCTCTAAATTTACCCCTTAAATCAACTACTGGAAAATATCTTGATTTAAAAAAAAATGTCGAGACCCCAAGTGAAAATTTCCCAAAAAAAAAAGCCTGAACATTTCCCCTAGAATCATTTGCTATTTTATTATTTTGCAATTCTTTACTTAATGAAATTCCTAAAATATCCCCACATTCACCATTTGAACTACTCTCATCAACATCACTGAAAATTCAGCCCAAGGAATTTTATATTATTTTACTGTAGTTAAATCAAATAGAAAAAAATGTTGATATGAAAATCGAGTGGATTTATGAGAATAACGTCGAGACTTCAATAGAATTTTCCACAAAAAATACCTGTAAATTTCCTCCTTTTCCAATAATCTTTCATCTTCTCACCTTTTCATGTATTTCCGATGTGGATTGTGCGTCGCAAAACGCAACTGTCGCAACGTCCTTAAGAATAGGCATCTCAATGGAACAATCACGTCCATCAAGTAATGCAACTAGCGGTCGGGTTTGGATGGGCCCATTGGCAATAGGGCCCCTCATGGTATCCATTCGCGGGCGTTTCGTCAGCATCTTACGTTTGTCCATCGGTCAGACAGCCCCCCTATTTTGTAACTATTCTCACACCTGATTAAATAACCAAAACAAACTCTCCTTTAGATGCACTAAAATTCCAGACTCAAAACAAAATCCAATCCAATCAAACACCGAGTGATAAAAAATAATATCAAATAGGGCTGTTCCCCTGGTTTTTCTCTCCCCTCTGGTTACAAATGTCCACAAAACCAAAACAAAATAAAAAAAAATACCACCAATATCTCGAATTGTCTGTCTTAAAAACCCAATGTATTGTCAAAATCCCTTTAATTATTGTATCGCACACTTTTTTTTAATGCTTTGTCACACTGATTGTTTCTTCACTACGGTTGTTTCATACGTATTCGAGGGTGAATCGTCGAATCTCCAAAACATCACGGAGTCGTTGTTTACCGACAGTCCTGCAACATAAAGAATAATCTCCAATTTTCCACCAATAAAATTTACAAAACCCCAGCATTCCACCCAAATAAACAATTCATCGGTGACAAAATGAATGAATTGATGGAGAACCCGATGTTTTCCCATCATTTCTCACTTGTCCACCAATTCTCAATATAAATATTTCCATTCTACACTCAATAACGAGTCAAATCCAACAATCCAATCCCATTTCCCCCATTATTCCCAAAAAAACTCCAGAATTTGCCAACAGAAAAATAAACAAAAACAATATTCCCTCATTATTTTCTTGTTAACCCCATCCCGAGGCACTAGCCCCCCAATTTTCACCAGAAATATTCCGCAAAATCCCCAAAATCCCATTCTCCAAAAAACAAAAATTAACGTAAACAATTTGTCAATGAAAAAATTAATGACCACAACACTTCCTCTCAATTTCATCGTTAACCCCATCCTGAGGCGATTGCCCGTCAATTTTCACCAGAAATAATGCCCATCCACACTCAATAATCAGTCAAAGCCAACAATCCAACCGCATTTCCCTCAACAATGGCCTTCATTCCGATCTCCATGAGCAGACAAAACCCCTCGAAAATAATAAAAACCCCAGAGATGACCGATTAAACGCGCGCGGTGAAAGTGGCAAAGATTGTGTTGGAAATTTTCGTGGTGCGTACACTAACGTTGATACCGTTTCTTTTGAGGTTACCTCGAAGCGCGCCGGCTTCACACCATCTCCAAATGCAACTTGCCACGCTCCAACAGCTCAAATCACTCCACTCCCATCATCACAATTTTCCCAAACACCGTATGAACCCCTTATTACCCACTATTTACCCAAATTAACGGATTAATGTACCGGTTAAGATGTCACAAAGCACCCTTTGCGTATCCAAAAAGGTTCTCTCGTCTTCGGCTGGGGCTAATGTTTTCAGAATTAACTGTACGTCACGTCCCTGGCGTTGGTCAAACGCCGAATGAAAGAGGTGGTAAGTCTGTGGGGAGGGGATGCCGAGTGTTTCTAACGTTTGGGATGATGTTTTTAGGTATCTGCAGTATCAACGCGTTACAGACACCACCACTACGATTTATTAACTAATCGACGGGAGGGGGGGGGGGCTGCTTNTCGCGCTCGATATTTTGAGACAAACGGTTTTCGCATTCAATCAATCAATCAAATCATTGTCAACAGGTTTTTCATCGCCATAAGCCGCTCGTTCGCATTCTTAAAAAATTAATGCATAAGCCATTCATTTTTTTTTCAATTCAGGAGGCAGTTGCGTGCACTCGTGTTTGATAAATAAATAAGACCGGAGAAAAGTTGATTCGTGTCCCGTGCATGCCGAGGTTTTTCCTTCGGAGTACAAAAGCCCTCCGGCTGTGTCTCATACCGCGATAGTGGTCATACACGAGTAAATGCGCAGGGAGGGGGAAGAATGCACGCAACTCGTGTGCGCTTTTATGTGAACGACTCGTCTTCCCAAACCTCTTCTCTCGTCGGTTCCGTGGAAAATGCCGGATTGTGTGTGCCCCCTCGTTTTGTTGACTCGTGGCGCCATCATCCGCGCATCTACAATAAAACTTCATCTTCCGCTTTATGATCATCGAGTTTTGTCTCGGCTTTTTTTTTTCCCTCCGTGTAAAAGCGGAAATGAGACGGGACTGTCATGCACTCGAGGCTGATTGAATAAATTTTGATTCTGATGAATGGAAACTCGGCGAATTGCTCGCGGGAGTGGACGTTTTCCACGATTTTTTGGGACTTGGAGTGCATTTTGAAGATGGCTTAACACATGTAATCGGAAATATAGCCTGCGGTGGCTATAAAATGTGATCGGTGCTTCGCTCAGCGAAAGTTTCCGTCGAGAAGGTTGAGAATGAGTTGAGTGGAAGGGAGGGGAGGGGGGGGG